GACAGAGGGCGGTGTCCAGGTGACATCGTGCAGGCAGGAAGAGCTGCACACAGTAGGCCACACAAAGCACTAGCCCTCTTGGAAACCGGCATCGCTGCTGGGTATTGAGATATCGATCAAGTACCTAGAGAGTCAGGTACAGAGAGAGGTAGAGGCATGGGAGAGAGAGAGGCCTACTCAGACATAAAAATATAGAGACACAGAGAAGCAAACACAAAGGCAGAGAGAGAGACAGAGATACATGCCTAAGGACACACAGAGACTGAGACACTGAGACACACATGGACAGAGACAGAGCAGACAGATGGAGGGATGAAGACAGAGAGACACAGATCTATAACAAACTGACAGAGACAGAGAAAAAAACCACCATCCTCTACAATTCCCATGGCCAAGGCCTTATATCAGTGGTCAGTGTCTGACTGCTACCTCCCCACACCCCTTTAGCAATAAGCAATACAATGTGTCATGCTATGAGGCCATCTCATTAGTGAGCCTTGGACCCCACCCCCACTGCACTGTTTTGTCAGGCCTGCAGCTACATCCTGATCAACAGGACTGTCAACACTGCCTATGGGCATGCCGGAAAAGATGTGTATATGCGGTCAACAGTGCACTGATTTGAGTTTCCTGCTTTGAATTTGATCCTTGGCACAAGAGAATATCTGATGAGCTGAGTGGCCAGTGTGCAGATGAGTCTTGTCTACATCGAGTGCCCCGTGGGAGTCCGAGGACCTCCAGGCATTCCTGTCACTCTGAGCCATAGCTATGCAAGCAGAAACAGGCAGGGGTTCCGAGAGAGGCACTCAGGTCCAAGAAGGAGGCCCAGCTTTGCCTCTGGCACCGTAGCCTGCAAGTCTGACAGCAAGGAGAGCTGCTCTCTTGATCGCCTTGGCAGATGGACAAATGAGGCAGGCCTCAGCTCCATGAAGTTTCTCTGACCAGCCCCCACTGAATGCAATCACTTCCTTCCAAAGAGGATTGCTTTTCCGAACCTCTCTGTAGTGTGATTCTAAGTAACGATTGGTTTCTCTGACTTAGCCTCGCTGCTAATCTGCAAGCTGTCTGAGGACAGGGCCATGTTAGAATGACTCTTTCCACCAGAATGTCGTTAGAAGCTCAACTCACAGTGGCAATAGCCACGCTGCTGCTATTGGTCGGTTTCCTTTTGATAGTAGGGATGCTGATGGTGATGAGGATGTGCTGACAGAGGGAGTGATGCCGTAGATGGTGAGGATGCTACAGCAATAGATGCTGCTGATGGTGTAGATGCTGTGATGGTAAGGATGATGCTGTGATGGTGAGGATGATGCTGTGATGGTGAGGATTATGCTGTGATGGTGAGGATGATGCTGTGATGGTGAGGATGATGCTGTGATGGTGAGGATGATGCTGTGATGGTGAGGATGATGCTGTGATGGTGAGGATGATGCTGTGATGGTGAGGATGATGCTGTGATGGTGAGGATGATGCTGTGATGGTGAGGATGATGCTGTGATGGTGAGGATGATGCTGTGATGGTGAGGATGATGCTGATCATGAAGATGCCGCTGACAGAGTATGTGATGCTGAAGGTGCTGTGGATAGAGATGCTGCTGCTCATAAATTGACTGATGCAAGATGGTGGTGTTCCTGGGCTGCTGATGGTAGCGATGACAGTGATAGCAGTCATCATTCATCATATTCCTCTGCTGAGCCATCTGCTAAGCTAGGCACGGTTACCGCCAGTCTCCTTAATCTGGAAAGCTACTTTCAAAGACAGGGAAATTATTTTTTTCTGGTCTTCCAGGTGGTAAAAGTAAACTCAAAGGAATAAGATGCGAGTTTCAGAGCTATGTAGTCCACAGAGCTACTTTGGGTAGGATGGCTTACTTCCCAACTGGCCTTTTCTCCTATTTGTTTCTCGCTGTGCTGAGTGGTTCTGCCCTTTCTTATGTAGTGATAGTTGAGTAAGGGGTGTGCCTGGAGGAAAAATCAGTGCTGCTGAATCTTAGAAAGTTCTGGGAATACTATCAGATGTATCATGCCACAGATGCCACCTTGAGTTGGTATCTGACCAGTCTTGTTGTTCCCAGGTTGGTAACCTCCAGGTGTCTGACACACCACCTAATATTACTTCTGGAAGCACCTCATTATCATATGTTGAAACTCAAAACATCTTTAAGCTAGAGACGGTGGAAACATAATTTTAACTCTGAGTAAAAGAGGAGATTGAAGAAACAGCACAGCTGGGCCTCTCCTCAGCACTCTTGGGGGTATCTGCCTGTCAGAAAGAAAGCAGTGATGAGGTAATGATGGACACAGCGGCCAGGGATGCTGGCATGCCCATCCGCTTGCGTGTGATTGATACTAAGATACTCTGGAGCTTGTGTCTGGGTGGGTCTAGAATAGACTCCCTCATTCCTCTGGATTGCTGAAGAACAAGTCCCCTCCTGGTTCTGACACCTGCTTCTAGTTGCCCCTCCCCCTTTAGAAGAGACTATGCCATTGCATGGGACCAAGGAGTAGGATACGGGGGAAACAACATTTTCTGGGTTGTTGTGTTTTTGTTTTTAAGACTCTTATTTGTGTTATATGTTGGAGTGTTCTTTCCTCCTCTTGGTCTTAACTTGAACCAGAGCATACACACGGAGAGCAGGTTGTCTGCCCCAGCCTGCTGCACAGATGTGCTGAGCCTGGTTGTCTCCGCCTGGAGCTGTCCAACGTGGAGCGCTAATTAGAGACGCTCTGAGCGGAGCCGGTCAGGCTGCCTCAGAGTGAGGAGAAGAAGGATGCTGCAGGCACATTAATGAGCTTTTGGATGTGGTCCCTGGCCTCTGGCGCAGTGACCCGGCCGTGTGTGTGCAGAGCGGCAGAGCCTGCAGCTGACTCGGCCGTCACCGGATCTGCGGGGAATGGCTGGAGGGGGCAGCTCTTGTGACACCGTCCTTGCCCATGTGTCCCCTGTCCCTTCTTACTTTCTGTTTTCTAAGAGAAGACCAGTTGATTGCAGCTAGCCTTACACATGAAGCTAAGAAATTAGGTGGTAGCTAGAGCTACATCATTTTGGAAGCAATAACAACAGCAGCACGAGAATCTAAGAGGTGATGCTCAAACTCCTTTGTCAGAAGAAACAAGCCTCAAAAGGTGCAGTGATCTGTTCAGGTTCGTACTACAAGGGGAGCTGCTCCTGCACCTGTCGCAAACATGTCCTAACCTCCCGCTTCCTACAGGGAAACCTGTCCCTTGGGGTGCGGAAATGGCTTGGCTGGCGATGTGCTTCCTGTACAAGCACAAGGACCTGAATTCGGATGCCACGCACCCATGTAATAAGACCAGGAATGGCGACACATTCCTGTAATTCCAAAGATGACCAGGAGGTGACAGGAACATCCTTGGGGGTTTCTGGCCAGCTAGTCGTGCCAAATTAGTAAAGTCCATGTCCAGTGAGAATTTTCTTATTGTTGTCGTCTCAAAATACCAAATTGGAGAGTAATAAAAGAAGACACCCGCCGGGTGGTGGTGGCGCACGCCTTTAATCCCAGCACTTGGAAGGCAGAGGCAGGCGGATCTCTGGGAGTTCGAGGCCAGGCTGGACCAACAGCTTCCAAAACAATATGGAGAAACCCTGTCTCGTAAAAACAAAGCAAAACAAAACAAAACAAAAAAAAAGAAGACACCCAATGCTAACCTCTGGCCTCCTTAGGTACACATGGATACACACAGACACCCAATGCTAACCTCTGGCCTCCTTAGGTACACATGGATACACACAGACACCCAATGCTAACCTCTGGCCTCCATATGTGCATACATACAAGTATATACACAAGGGACGTACTCTCTCTCTCTCTCCCTCCCTCCCTCCCTCTCCCTCCCTCCCTCCCTCCCTCCCTCCCTCCCTCTCTCTCTCTCTCTCTCTCTCTCTCTCTCTCTCTCTCTAGTAGGATTTAGACTTGCATCGGTGAAGTCTGGGCTGGGAAGGGAGAGGCTTCAGACAGGCATCTGTAACCTCTGTTGAAGTGGAGGGTTGTTTACAGGAAAGCCATCCTCCCGAGTCGCCAGCAAACACCGCACGGGCAGCAGAGACTGATATTTCTTCAGAGATGAAACACAAATAGCTACTGAGCACACGAGAGTCCCCCAGCATCAGTAGCCACCAGAGGAAATGCAGACAACAAGACAAAACAGAAGTAAAACAAAACACGACGACGGGACCCTGCTTCCCAGCCACAGGTGCAACCGGTGTGGGTGACTGTGGGGATAATGAGACTCACGATGTTGAAGAGACACCGAGCCACGCTCTTTTGTTTGGTAGGGCTGCAGGACAAGCTGGCGGCTCTCGAAGTATTAAATACAGTGGCAATGTGACCCTATGAATTCGTCTGTTAGGCTTACACCCAAGAGAACCAATACATGTCCATCTCCCAGACTCGGCAGCATACAGCGATCTAACGGCATTATTCAAAGTAGCACAAAGTGGAAGATAGCCTGGGTGTCCGTCATCTGTTCCTTAAAAAAAAAAATAGAATGCGGTAGCAACATACAGTACAGCCCCGAAGAGGAAGGGGACCTTGGCCCACGCTGTAAAGTTGTGGGCTGGATGCAAACGGCCACAGGCTCAGAGGATCCATTCACAGAAACCTCTGCAGGGCAACAAGCTCCCGGATACAGAAAGCAAAACAGCGGAACTGGCGACAGAAGAACGGGGACCTGCACAATGTTCTGATCCGGGGACGTTCTGGAAGGACTTAGTGGTGAGGTTTGCACGTCTGTGAACACATGAAAAAAAAACCGCAGAATTGTATGGTTTCATGGCATGGGGCAGCTGCATCTGAAGAGAGCCGCCAATTAAAAACCAATGCTGCAGTAGCTACCAAGTGTGGGTCTTGGCGGATGCTTGACACCGTAATGTCAGGGATGCTTGGCGCGCCGTTGGGCCGTGAGGATGGAGCCAGGGCCTCCTGAGCACAGACTGATGGAGGCCTAACTCTCACCTTGTCTCTCATCTTCCCCTCCAGGGCGAGGACTCTCTCCCCGAGAGCATCCTGACCTATGTGGCTCACACTTCCGCCCTGACCTATCCTCCCGCAACCCGAGTCAAGCACCAGACAGCCTTCCGCGGCCCCTAGGCCAGCTCCAGCCAGATGAGCTGAGCCCCAAGGTGGATAGCGGCGGGGGCGTGGACAAACAGCAGCTGATTGCGGCCCTGGGTGCCTACGCCGCTCAGAGGCCTCCCAGAGGGAATGACCCAGGGCCACGGCACCCTCTGCACAGTCCCGCGAGAGCATCGAGGCCCTTCTCAGCGCCCGCCTCCTCTCAGAGATGGACGTTACCCCCAGGAGACTCCAAGGACCCCCTGAGCATGGGAGATGGTGAGTGTTTTGGTGGCCTGCTCTCACTGCATTGGCCGTGATGACCTCTTCCTCTTCCATTACACACCTCTTGTAGACGCAGTGTGTGACAAAGGGATCTTATGTGGGCCCAGGGTCCCTCACTGTGGAGAAGAATCCTGCCACAGGGACACCCGCAGTTGGGGAAAGGGGCAAGTGCTCTGGGCTCTAGGTGTAGGTGGCTGGTTTATCTCCTACCTCTTTCAGCCTGGTCCCCGGACTGTGTGTCATCTACCGTGTGGTTTGCAACACAGAATAGAGATGCCATCAGACATTCCATGCCATGCGATTCTGGATGGTCAAATCCATAACTACACACTAAGTAGTTAATCCTCAGAGGTGTCCAGTCTGCAGTTAGTACCACCTACAACTCAATGGCGAGTAGTGCAGACCACTATGTGGCCCTTGTCAGAGCCATGGTTTTCAGTTTCTTGGTAATAGTGGTGAACTTTTGTGGTTATCTATTGTCTATGGGGGGCATCTACAGGGGACGACAGCTTAGGCACTTTCAGGATCCTGCTCCTTTATATCATATAGAAGGTTCCGGCCCATTTGCTTTCTAACAACCTTTTGCTAAGACCATCCCAAAGTGGAATCATTATGTTATGACTTCCCCTATAGAGACACAGGGATTCTACACCTATGCAGGTAGCACTTTGGGGGACCAGCTGGTGACTGCACGGGCATCATTCTGTCTGCTGTAAGCAAAGCTCAGTTTATATTGACAGTCCTGGTTCTCACCGCTGCATTCCAGGCAGGCAGCCTCATCCTCACGTCATTGACTTCATTCTCTGGGAATGCAAAACCTTCAGAACTTAGCGGTGGTGGTCAACCAAACATTTTTGGGGTTACTGAAGTTTTCTTGTCCCGCCAGGTCCTTCCACTGCTTCAGACCCAATTGAACACACAGAGATGCTATTTTAATTGTAAAACTGTTGGCTGATGGCTAGGGCTTCTTACTGACTAGCTCTGTCTTAACGATGAACCCATAACTACCAATCTATGTACTTCTACATGGCCTTATCTTACCAGGGAATGCCATCATATCCTATCTACCCTGTAGCTACATGGCAACTTTTTCGCAGTACCTCTCTCCCAGCCTTCTCCTCATCTTCTAGCCCCGCCTATCTTTCCTACCTTTACCGGCTATTGGCCAAGAAGTGTTTTGTTCACCAACCAATAAGAGAAACATATATATAGAAGGACATCCCCCATCAATTTGGGTCACCTCAGAGAAAGCTGGATTTATCAAGAAACAACTGTCTAAATATCAACTAAACTCTATCAAAAGATTTTTTTTGCCTTGACTAATAGGTCCTAGGCTTTGGTCATTAAAATTCCTTTTATGTATGTGTATATAGTGACCATATATAGTTGGGGAGACAATACCCCAGTTAGACATCCTGTATCACCAAGTGAAACCTCCAATGCCAGAAACATTACGCTTACCATGGGAATGGGGTTTGGTAAAAGATTGTGGGCTATATGCCTAACTAAGTACAAAAATACTAAGTATGTTCATCTCGCAGAACAGCTACATGGGAATCATTCTGTTTCACCCAGATGCGGGGGAGGGGCTCCCATGATTTGCTGTATTCATGAGGCTCTTCCCTGAGTTCTGTCACGAGGTAACAGATGTCTATCTGTCGTTTCCCTTTGCTTTTAACATTCCGGATATCTTCCCCTACCCCTGAGTCTTTGAACAAAGACTTAAGTGGTAAAGTTGTGAATTCTTTGGAGAGGTTGTGTAGGTTGGGGACAGAGGACAGTCACTTGCCCCCATGTTTGTGGAGGCTCTCAGGACGGAGCACTCTCACAGATTGGCCTGTTTGGTTAATGATGTTCACCGGAGCCATGGGGTTTATTCAATACTTATGAAGAGCTGTCAGTCATCCACAAATGTATTCTCCTACCTTGGAAAGTGCTCTCAGCATGTGCTGGGTCTCACGCACACATCTGCACCCTCCCTCCTGGTGTCCATGCCTGCAGAGAGTAGCAGCTTCCCAACACTCGGACTTCTTGATTTGAGGATTGCATTGGCTCATATTTATACTGTGCTCCAAGGACACATACCATTTACATTTCATGTGCTTACAGTGAGGCTTAGCATATATCCATAAGTTGTTTTGATTACTTTTTATTATTTTTTAAAATTCATTATTTTTTATTTATTTTACACTCTGGCGACAGTTTTCCCTCCCTCCTCCCCTCCTATCCCCTCCCTCGCCTCGCCTCTGCCCACTCCATCCCTTCTCCCAACAATGGCATTAAGTTGAGGCAGGACCAAGCTTCTCCCACAACGTCAAGCTTGGTTGGGCTAGGCAGCCCAACATGGGATAGACCCTGGTCATACTGCTAGGAGCCCCAAAAACAGACCAAGCTACACAACTGTCACCCACATGCAGAAGGCCTAGGTTTGCCCCATACAGGCTTCCTAGCTGTCGTTCCAGAGTCTGTGATCTCCCCAGAGCCCAGTTCAGCTGTCTCTTGCTCAGCTACATTCATAACAGTGCTATTCATAATAGCTTAGAACCCAGAAACAGCCTGGACGCTCCTTAGCCGAAGAACAGATGATGACAACAACATCGTGAACTTTGCCTGCCAATGGATGGAGCTAGAAAAAAAAATCATCCTTAGTGAGGTAACCCAGACCAAGAAAGAGAAAAGCAGTACATACTCATGCATAAATGGATGTTATCTGTGAAGTAAAGCATAACCAGGTTACAGTCCACAACCCCAGAGAGGTTATGTGACAAGGAGGGGCCCAAAGAGGGAAGCATGGGTTTTCCTGGGAAGGGGAAATAGAAGAGATCTCCTGGGTAAACTGGGGGCAGAGGTGGCTGGATGGGGGGTATGGCAACTTGAGGAACCTGTTGAGGGGGCTGGGGACAAGATGGATGGGGAGGAGTAACGAAAGAGATGTCTTGACGGAGGCCATTTCAGGGTTAGGGAGAAACCTGGCACCAGGGAAACTCCCAGGAATCTACAAGGATGATCCAAGACTCATAGCAAGAGTGGAGAGTGTACCTGAGCTGACCATCTCCTGTTCTCAGACTGGTGACCACCCTAATTGTCATCAGAGTGCCTCCATCCAGTAACTGATGGGAGTAGACACAGAGATGGATAGCCAAGCACTGGGCTGAGATCTGGGAGAACTGTTGAAGAGAAGGAGAAAGGACTGCACAAGCTGGGGTTGGGTTGGGGGAACCCACAGATTGCCTTTTAGCCTATCTCATTTTTCATATTTTATTAGTTTTCTATTAAATACACAATACACACTTTGCTTTAATAACTCAGGCTCGAAGTTATACACTAAGCTCCCCCCATAAGATGTAATTTGAATTTTTATCTTTTCTAAAAATCAGTAAATTAACTGGGCTGCCTTTGTTCAATAATAAAAGTAAGTAATACATTATTTTAAAATCTTTGCAAAAAGGTAGAGTTTCAGACTTTGCATATTTTAAAGGTTCATGGTTAAGTTTGGAAAGATGTTTGTCATATTTGTTTATGTCAGCCTGTCAGTTTGCAGGGTAAAATGCATGCAGTGGTTTTACAAACAGAGTATTTTGCAAAAGTTTGGAGGCTATTCAGTTGGAATTCAGGAAAGAAAGTTGCCTCATAAACACTGAAATAAGTGACAGGCTGGGTGACAAGTCAGCCTGAATGGTTGTTTATTTTAGAGGGGGGAAAACCAGTGGTGGGAAATGTCACTCAGCCGTCTCATGGGGCTTGTTTGATTTTGTGAAACAGACTTGTTGTATAGTCCAACTGACCTCTCATGCTGGGTCCTCTTGCATCAGCCCCTGAAGTATTGAGGTTACTGGACTGCACCACCACACCTGGCTCTCACAGTATCCTAATGGTTGTCTAGGCACACAGCAAAATTAAGTTTGCTTGCGATGTCCACTGTCCTCAAGTCTTTCTAGACTCAAAATAACTTTGAGGGTATGTGTAGATGTGGGTATGTGTGTGCATGTGTATGTTCTATATGTGTGCTGTGTGTGTGTATTCATATGTACACATATATGTTATATGCATATGGTTATATACGTGTGGTATGTACATGTGTGTGTGTGTGTGAACAATATTGTAGTCGTTCAGAAAATTATGTCCTTAGTTTTCAGTGTTTTCTTGCTTGTGATAATATTTACTCCTGGGCTCTGAACACAATGGTTGTCCAATATAAGCTGAATAACTGGATGGATGGAATGGGTGGATGGATAAATATGTAGGCAAAAGGGATATGTGAGTGGATTAGTGCTTTGACAATGAATGTGTACATGGGGATGGATGGATGGATGGATGGATGGATGGATGGATGGATGGATGGACTAGTTGAATGAATGATTAAATGAGTGGCACTTGAGCCCTGACTTTCATGGCTGAAATTCACATTTTATTTTAAAATTTAAGCTTATACTTCAACAAGGAGTGGTAATTGAAAATTTTAATCTTTTAAAAACTTCAAGATTTACTTTATACGTTTGAGTGTCTTGCCTGCATGCATATATTATGTGAACCTTGCGCAGGCCTGGAGGCCAGAAAAGGTTACCAAATCCCATGGAACTGGAGCTGGTATGGTAGTGAACCAGGGCATGGGTGCTGGGAACTGAACTAGGGTCCTCTGCAAGAGCAGCGAGTGTTTTTAAACATTGAAACATCCATTCACATTCCAAAGTGTAATGTTAAACTCTGTAATGGGCATGTTGAGAGGCTGTAGCTGGCCTGCATGGCTGAACTTCTAAGGGCTCTTGTCTGTGCTGTGCCTTACCTGCTCAAGGGTTGCAGTGAGTGAGCTGTGGCTGGAATTAATTGCAGATATCCAAATGTTTATCATGGACTGGAGTGGGGGAAGAAAGATGGGCAATGATGTGCACATCCAATCTATATCATTAGCTCATCATTGAGGCAGTGATTGTGATATACTGAGGCCCTGGGGTGTGACTTCACTGGATGGCAATATATACCTCATTGATCTTCAT